TTTTTTAGAATTTTTTGTATTTTGTATAGTGGATTACGGACTTCTCTCGTGTGTGTTTCTTCTTTTTGGAGACAGGGTCTCACTATATACAGGCTGACCTGGAACTCGTGATTGTCCTGTGTCAGCCTTCCGAGTGTTGGGATTATAGGCCTGTGCCACTGCATCTTGCTTCTCTGTTTGTTTTAATTTCCTAAAGCTCTGTAGAATCTACAGTGAAAAGAGGAAGATAAACTGTTTTTCTGTTTTCAGCTTTGCGTACCATATGTGTTTCTGATTGAAATGATTGTGTGCGTGTGTATATTTATATGTATGTGTGTATGTTGTGTGTGTGTGTGTATATGAACACATTTCCACATTATTCATAAAGACACACATGCCTTTATAACTATGCACATTTGGGAAAAGACGTATGTGCTGTGTTTGTGAGTAGGAGAGAGAGTGAACGTGTAGGGAAGGGCAGCATGTGGGTGGTGGTGGCAGGGACAGAGGTGAATTGGGCCACTAGCACTGCTTCATTCTTATTCTAGGTCAGGTTTGGTTACTAACATGGTGTGAAAGAAAACCTTAATTGCAGTTTCACAGCTGCGTTAACACTTAAGCTGTTCACTAACCAATTCTCTTGACAGAGATTAAAACCTAGACATTCCAGGACTATATACAATAACAAATTAGCAACACATTCTGTGTACCATACAAAATAATGGTAAAAAAGTTTTAAATAGTCATAACAGAATATTGCTTAAAGTATTCTTTTACTAATCCTAAAGGAATGAGAAATACTTTCTGTATTATGTAAGCACCCCAGAAAGCCATTTCATCTTGCCTTTTTGATTATTAGTAAATGAACTCTACTTAAAACAGGGAGTGAACAATATCTGAGCCAATTGAATAGGTAATATTTAGGTAAGCAGAAACAGTGATCCAAATTGGAAAAAGAACAGGTCATAGGGGATTAACACACTGCTATTATGAAAAGTCCTGGGAGATCCCAGATGCCCTCAAGAGGCCAGCACTTTTGTTTATTGAGAACCTTTGTAAGACTGTGCAAAGATGCTTCATGTGAAAAACACTGGTGTGCTAATATTGCTCAGCTGTTTAAGTACCAGTAAGAGCTATAGAAGTTACTTCTCAATTATGACACCTAAATGGCCGGCCCTGAATCAGATGAAATGAACTCATGGGTTGGAATGCATCTATTTATTTTTAAATGCAAAAAAGTTGATTAGGTTTTAAACTTAAGGTTCCAGATTTGTAGAAACTTTTTTTTTTGGCCTGAGGAGAAGTATTTTCCCTCCCTTCCAGTCCATTTTACAACGCCTCTTCCCCAACTGTGTTCTTTGCTGACAACAGCAAGTGTATGTACTTTGTGAGGTCGGTAAATGCTGATTCCTGCAAGAAGAAAACTTAAGCAGTGAGCTTAGACGTTGTCAAGAGGAAGCACAATGAGTGAAGCAATTGAATGAGTATTGCAAGGATTATTTAAAAGTATGAGTCAGAGACCAAATAATCTTACTTCCCTCAGATTACCAGTCTTCATATGTATATCATGTTTTATTTTACTTACTTGTTTAATTTATCCAGATATATAGATGGTAGCAAATTGGCTTATCAAATTGTCTTCTTTTTCTTATCAAAAGCTAAATAAGCATTCTTGTAACCATAGCTCCTGTCTCCATAGAACTACACTAATAAACTTGATCCATATGATTTAAGATTGTAGAATAAATTGCATTTAGTGAAGGAAAGATGGTCTTTATATATGTCTTTAGCCCACGGCACCTACTCGATAAAATCTACTTTTAATGGTTCCTTTTAGGATACCAGTGTTGATGAATTCTACAATAGTCTGTTTAATTCTTAATAAATGTTTTTTCTATTTAAATAAGGAGGTCAACAGCTAAATAAATATTTTCCTGCAGTTTTTCTTAAGTGATAGGATTCAGAATTTATGTATAGGTACGCAAAGAAGCCATTTTATTTAATTATTAATAAATGGACTGTACTTCTTTTATTTATTGGTAGTATTGGGGTTTGAACTCAGGGCCTCACGCATACCAGGTACATGCTCTACCACTTGAGCCAATCTGCCACCCCAGTGGCCTGTACTTTAAAACGGGGGATGAAGAATCCCTGAGCCAACAGGAATGACTGTAAGGCTGAGGGAAATTCAACTATATGGGTATTATTCTTTACTAATTTAAATGGTGTGTTTTGGGGAGTGAGGAGAAAGGGAAGAGAAACATTTTGAAACCATGCTCAACAATTTTTGATCGCTCATCTATTCTTTTGTGATGATATAATTGACCACAACTCAAAATCTGAAAAATCTGTATATTGAGTAATTCACAAATTGTTGAATTTTTCTACTGTCTTAAGTCCTTTATAGAAAATGTTTTAAAAATACATAGCATGAGAAACGGGATCATATTTACTCTGCAGGACTTGGGAAACCAGAAACCAGTGTTTTAGAGAGATGAAAGTATAGTTTTATATAACATTATAAATACATTGACTTATTGCTGCTTGCATTTCTTGGGTGTTGTGTGTGTGTGTGTGTGTGTGTGTGTGTGTATGTATTGTTAATATTGACCAAAATTAACTGGATATGTTGGCAGACCTGGAAAAAAAAATTGAGCTTCTGTTACTAAATAAAGTTTAAGTGCTTCTTTTTAAAATAAAACTTTACCCTTATATAGACTGTTATGTACGATCTGTGTTTCCATAAGGAATTGTTGATTAAGTAGCTTCCATTTTGGTATTACAGTATGTCCTGGTGTAAGTTGCTGACTGTGTAAAAATCTTGTAAGTCAAAAAAGCAGCTCAGGCTTAAACCCCTACTATTTATTATGGCAGAAACCAGAAATAGAAATCTACCAGGAGTTTTACAATATGGTGAATTCCTGCATATCTTTTAGAGCAAATTAGTTTAAAAAGTTTACTTAAAAGGCTATTGGCTATAGAACTAAGTCAGTTACTTTGTATATTCTTGTACAGAAAGGGTCTTTTTTTTTTTTTTAACTTCATTTACTAAATACATGTCTGCACTTTTTTTTTAATAAAGAGGGCCCCAGCATAGAATGAGACAAAATTGTTAGTATATCTGTGAGATATGCTGTTAACCTATAAAAAAGGCTAATTAAGTATAATTCTGACATAACTTGTTTATATGCAATACTTTAGGAAGGTTAACTTATTTTTGCATGAAACAAAATGTCTGCAAAATGTGTTTTATAAGTAACTCATGTTGGATTTATTGACAATAAGGGCAATACTTGAATTTTGATGTCTGCTTGCCAGGTGTAGTAACTTAATATTAAATGCAATTATTTGTCTTTAAATGTTACTAACAGGGTCTATGAAGTGTGGTTTGTGTTTTTTGAAGAAATGTTTCAGTTTCTCTCTCAGTGTCTGTTACGGTCTTGAAGAGAGGAGGGAGAGAAGGAAAACTAAGAATAGTTGCTATTTTATATGAATTTATGCTGTAGTCAGTGTGCAGGAGCTGTGGAATCTTTATTACTTTGTAGTAGTTTTGGTACATGGCATGACCAGTTCTTTTTTTAATAGTCAAAAAGTGATTTTTACATTTTAATGAGGTTAAATTGTTTACCAATTAACATTGTACTATAAAGGGAACATAAGTATGAGTGACACCAGGAAAGAAAAGCTGTCATTTATCATCTCATGTGTGGTATTCTAATTTAAATTTGTGGTTTGAGAGAATTAAATTTGGATTCTAACATGATCCAGAAGTAAGACCTATATGTATTTTAAGATAAATTCAGTAAACTGTAAAGCAAAGACTGGGTTTGTTTGACCACAGCAAAGGTGTACTTTAAAAATGCCTTTCTAATTGTATATAGTAAACCTTTTGTTTATCAAGTTAGACTTAAATATGCTGCCTCACGTATCACTTATATTAGTATTGTTACTTTAAATTTAATTTAAAAAATTTTTATCGGTGTATGTTAGATCGTACCTAGTAAGGGGCTTTTTACTCGTGTATATTAGATTGTACATAGTAAGGGGTTTCTTACTTGTGTGTACCAGATTGTACACAGTAAGGGTTTTTTATTGATGTATATTAAGTTGTAAGGGGTTTCATCACAGCATTTCCATACACATTTGATTACTTTTCACCCTCTATTCTTCTTTCTTACCCTCCCTCTTCCTTCCTCTCCCTTTTCGCTTCCCCTTCCTCCTCTGTAGCGGCCCCCCTTTTATTTTCATGACCATGGTGGCTTGGTGTGTTTTGTTTTCCCCTCGCCTCCACTAATATTTGGTCTTATGCTTCCAAAGTTAAGGTCTTCAAAATAATAACCAAGATGTATGGGCAATGATTATTAAACAAGAAAATTAAAATATTATTCGTGAAGACAACCCAGATTGTTTAATTATACCTTATACTGTCTTTTTAAAAACAGTAATGTTTTATTTTCTATTACTAAGGATGTATTTTTGTTTGAATGGTTTAATAACTGCCAATAGGAAATTGTGCTGTTCAATACAATTTTACATCTTCATTGCTGTAGGTATAAAGAGCACATGGAGTATACATCAATTGTATTTAGGGTTAGGTTAGAGTGTGCTTTGAAACAGTGATGCTGACATGAATATAGTGTATAATATTTGAATTGAACTTTATATTAAGTATCTTATAGGGTGTCTAAAATGTTAATTCTAAAATAGTAATCTTGAAAAGTCCAGGTCAAAACTCTGTCTAATTGTATTCAAAAGAGAGGGCCTCCTCTTTTTTATACATGGTAGAAGATATAAAAATACCGTTTAACTCTTAACAATGAGCTGTAGAACACTAACGTGTTACTTACCCTGTGTACAAATAATTCAAGTGATTGATGTATTTGGTCTGTATTTTCTTGTAAAGGAAACTATTGTCTATTTAAACTGTTTACTGATTATAATGATGGTTGCTCATTTTAGAAGTCTTGCAAAGTACAGAAAAAATAAAGGTAAAAATAACATTTATTAAGAGTTCTAGCAATTTACTGATATTTTGATATTGGTTTCCTTCCTGTCCTTTTTTCTGTGTGTGTGTGTGTGTGTGTGTGTGTGTGTGTATGTACACCATACCATATATGACCAGTTGGTATCATACTGTTTCTGTAATGGGATTAAATATTAACATTTAAAATTTCTTCATAATTATATTCACATGTTATAGCTAGAATTTGTAGGGAACATAGTTTTTATGTCAGAGAAGAGTTCAATAAACTTTGAAGGGTCCAGATAGTAAAATATTTTAGTCTGTAATCTAAGAGGCAAAAATGACTTTATAATACAGGTTTTCATAACCATTTAAAAATGTGAAAACCATTCTCAGCCTTGGGACTTCAAAACAAAATGAAACGAAACGAAACAAAACAGGCAGCTGGCTAGATTTGGCCCATGCTTTAGTTTACTAACTCCTGCCCGGGAAGATCATTTGCTTATATTTTATTTATGTGTATGCACACATATCTAAATCTTTGACGTTTCTCGGTATGACCACCTCAAAGGCCCTGAGCCAGTCCAAGTGTTAACACCCAAGGGTCCCGAGTGTGATTCCAGTCTGACTGCTGCAGGACCCAGTTCATTGGTTCCTAGAGGGAGGGTCGACTTTGACTTAGTGAAATATGGTACTTGCAGTCTCCTACTGTACCGCGTTTGGAAGTTCTTCATTCTGCCTTTACAGGAAGCGGGAAACTGTTTTACTTGAGTCTGATGTGAGATGAGGATACCGGGTAGAAGGTGTTGGACCTGCCTGAAAGTGTTTGGCCTTAAAATGTCAAGGTCACTCTCCCAAATCAAGTTTTCCCTGACCTAGCTGCTGTATTTAGTATTCATTTTTCTAACTTCAGAGATGAACTTAATAAGGAGTTTATTATATGTTGATATAAAGGAAGCAAAGATTAAAAAGGAGAAATAATAAAGTAGCTAAAAATAAACATCACAGCACCTTTCTTGTCTTGGGATAAAAATTATGTTCTAAAATTTATTCAGTGAGGGAAAAACTGTTGTTTTGGTATTGCCGTGATACTGTTTAAGGCACAGTTTTTTCTTTTTTTGGGGTGTGTGTGTGTGTGTGTGTGTGTGTGGTTAAATACTGTAATTCCCATTTTCAAGTTATGCTCAAAGCTTTTCTAGTTTTGAGCAGCAAAAGCAGAGGTGCCATCATTCTGTCATTGCAACTTCCATCAAGGTTAACGAGTACACAGATAATCTTTTCTGACAGAGCACTGTAAATATTTGAGGGCCTTGTAGTGGCAGTTTTTAATCATGACAGCCCTTTAGCCAAAACACAATCAGATTTTGTTAGTAATTTTGTTAGTAACATGATGGCTGTGTTTTCAAGAGTTAGTTACTGTATGAAGTAGGGTTTTTAGTGAATGAAAGGCACTTGTAAAGCTACTGATACCTTTTGATAAGAGTATTTGAAGAGTCCATGTGTCAGTGAGAATTACCTGAGAAGTTGTTAGGGGCTATGATCTGTTAAACACACACTGAACGCATCTATAAAACCAGGACAAAATGGATCAAACAGCTATTTGAGGACTCTGCAGAATAAATAATAACCAGGTGGATTGGGAAAGAAGACTAGAATTCAAAGTACCATCGAACTGGCTGTGAGTTTACCATTTTTTTTCTTCCAGTATTCCCGGACCTGAATTTAACACAATCTGAAACATAGACAGAGAGCGCTTCAAAAGATGCCTGCTAGTTCTGGCTCAAGAAGCAGGAAAGATAACTCCTAAATTCAGAATTCCACTCTTTCCCCCTTCTCTCATGTCCCATTCTCAAGCAATCCTTTGGTAATGTCAGCAGAAGCCACCATGGGAGCCTGCAGTCAAAACTGAGGAATGGAAACTCCCCAGTCGATAAGTACCTGGCTTCCTCTCGTGTTCTCCACCTCTATTGCTTGACCCCCAAAGCAGACACAGTTTCAGAAGAGTGGGATCAAGCAGTGTACCAAAAGCTCCATGCTCTACCTGGAGAAGTGAGAAGGGCATCCCAGGAATTGGAAAGTGCTGAGATCACTTGTTGAACTTGGAGAAGCCATGCCACACCATGAAGCCATCAATTAGCAAAATGATACAAGTACGGGAATCATCTGACATAGACTTTACAGCTGTTATTAGGCAGAAAGATGCTACAAGTCAGTGTGGATGGTCTGGGAATGAATGGAAAAGTCTCAGCAGAGAAGTAGAAGACAGAAGGAAGTTATGGAACTGTTAGGACTGAAAAATACCTAAGTGGAAAAAAAGACAGCCTCCACCTGATAGCTCACAAACAGAATGTGAAGACGGGGAAAAATGTCAGTGAACTGGAAGATAGATCAATAGAAAAATTTCAATCTGAACAACAGAGTAAAGAAAAATTTAGATTTGAACAGAGCTTCAGGGAGCTATGAGGAAATAAAATAGACGTTTTGAGGAAGGATGTGGTGCTGAGCAAACACTTGGAGAAATAAGTGATTGAAATCTCACAGTTTATTGATGTACATAAAGATACAGATTCAAAGAACCTGAAGTGGAATAAACCCAAAGAAATCCATGTTCAGGCATTCATAACCAATGTGAAAACTAACAAGAGAAGGAGTTGGAAACACAAGACCTCTGATTATTGTGGATTTCTCATCAGAAGCTGGAAATGAGAAGAAAAAGGTAACAACAACAAAAATCAGAACACTTAAAGGGAAGAACTGCTTGTAACCAATAAAAATGACTTTTAGAAAAGAAGGCGACATAGTGTATTTTCATGTGAAGGAAAACTTAACAGTATTAATTCCCAGACCTGATCTAAAAGAATGGAAAAGGATAAGACAGAAGGAAACTTGGACATTAGGAGTGAAAGAAGATAAACAGAATGGTAACTATCATAGACTATTTTCCTCGTGAGTTCTTTGAAATATATTTAACAAGCAGAGTGTAGTGATGCACACCTGTAATCTCAGCACTTGGAAGAGATGGGCAGAAGGATTGTGACTTTGAGGCTAGTCTGGGCTATAGCAAGATCCTGTATCAAGACACACATATGCTTGTGCATGCACGCATACATACATACATATATTTTAAGTTGAAAGTTAAAAAAATTATGTTAATTGATGTGGTTTTTAATGGATGTCTATTATTATATAACATCTACTTGAATTGTTAAAATTTTGATTCTAAGTAGACTATGAAAAGTTAAGGGTGCATTTTATAATCTCTTGAGCCACTGCTTATAAAATGAAAAGGTGTTAGATTCACAATGGATACATTAAATTGAAATTTTAAAATACTTAACCCAAAAGAAGTCAGGAAAAGCAAAACAGAAACAAGCAGAAAACAGATAATAAAATGGTGAATGTAAATTCTTGCATGTCAGTAATCACACTACAATTTTAAATGTTGTAAACACATTAAGAGTTTGTCAGAGTGCATTACTTGGAAGGCAGAGATCAGAAGGATCATGGTGCAAGGCCATGCCAAGCAAGAAGTTAGGAAGACTCATCTTCTTACGTCTATAATCCCAGCTTCCTGGAAGTGTATATGTAGGAAGATCGGAGAAGGCTGGCCCTGGGCAAAAACATGAAACCTTACGTGAAAAATAACTAAAATAACTAAAGCCAAAAAAAAATGTGTATGAGAAAGATTGGTCTTGGGGTGTGGCTCAAGTTGTAGAGAGACTGCTTAGCAAGTGCAAGGAGACCCCGAGTTCAAATACCAGTACTGCACCATCCCCCCAGTGACCCCAGTATTTGCTATCTATCAGTAACATATTTTAAATATAACAGCGTAAGTTTGTTAAAAGTAAAAGTTTGAAAAAAGATACAGCATGCAAACACTAATGAAAAGAAAAACTGTAATGACTATATTAATTACAAAGAAGACTAGAAATACCCAAGATTCATGGGAACATTACCTAATAATAGAATATAAAAATGTACAAAGCAAAATTTGAAGGCACCTGAGGGAGAAATAGAGAATTCCAAAATCATGTTCGAAGACTTCAGTGCTCTTTTCTTAGGGTAGAATCACCAAGTGTATAGAGTGTATGGGCAGGACTGTCAGCCAGCCAGATCCAAGTGACGTTTGTAGAGTATTTTACCCACGAGAGCAGAACATACATTATTTATAAGCACACATAGAGTATTCATCAAAATAGACCAAGTCTTGCTTTTAAAACAGACTTTCATGAATTGATGATAATCGAACTCAAGTGAAATGTTTTCTGTTAGATCATAATGCAGATGTACTAGAAATTAGGAACAGAAAGTAAAAGGACAATTTCCAAGTACTTGGAGATTCAGCAGCAAACTTCTAAATAATCCATTGGGTAAAAGGGTAAGCCTCATGGGAAATTAAAAAATATTTTGAACAGGTAGAAAATGAAAACCTAATGTGAAAAATTCTGTAGGTTAGGCACCAAGTAAGAGGGAAGTGATTGAACTCAGTGTTTATATTAGAAAAAAAGACAGACCTCAAATCAGAAATTCATATTCCCAACTCAAGAAACTAGACAAAGAAGGCAAAGACAAAATAAGAGGAAAACAGAATGAATTCAAAGCAGACACACAATTGCTAAAATTAGTGAAACTAAAAGCTTGGTGTCTTTTTCTGTAGATGAGTAAAACTGGTAAATCTTATCAATATGATTTAAAAAAAGGAAAGAACCAGTATCAGCAGTAAAACAGCAAGGGGTGGGGTGATATCATTCCAAATCACAGCAAGGAATATTTAAAAAATATTAAAAACCCCAATTCTGTGAATATAAATTTGACAACATAGGTGAAATGAATGAATTCCTTGAAGTGGCAAACTATCAAAACTCAATCAATATGAAATTAATGATCTTTATTGTCCTTTACTGAAGAAGTTGAATCTGTAGTTATCAACCTTCCAGAAACAGTCAAACTCAGGCTGTATTACTGGCCAAGGATATCAAATAGTTAATGAAGAAATAATGTTCTTTATCTACCCATCACTTCCAGAATGTGGAGGAAAAGGAAACACTTCCTAGCTTTTTTTATGAAGCCAAAATTAATCTGATACCCAAATAAGACAAAGTTAGTAAATGAAGGCATGAGGAAGGAAAGAAAGAAAACTGTGGGCCAGTATACATCATGAGCATAGTTGCATAAATCCTAAAAACAGTATTAACAAATTGAATCTCACTGCTCATAAAAGTTATATTATAACATGATCAGAAAAGTCTACAGCTAACATCATTCTTCATGGTGAAGGAATGAGTGTTTTCCTCCATGCATGAGAACAAGGCAAGGATGTCTTCTCTTAACCTCTCTGATTCATTATTTTACTGAAATCCTGGTCATTATTATATGGCAGCAAATGGAAGTAAAAGGCAATAAAAAGATTGGAAAAGAAGAAGTAAACGGTTCCTGTTGGCAGACAAATGATTATGTAGAAAATACCAAAGAATTTCTGAATACCTAGAACCTAGTGAGTTTAGCAAGGTCAGAGGATACAAGATTAACACAGACAGACAGACATTTACACATGAATTGTATACGTTGGTCTTATATGCAGGTTTTACATTCATGGATTTAACCAACTGTGGATAGAAAATATTTGAAAAATGTGTACTAACTATACTTGTTTTTCTCATTACTTCCTAAATAATACAGTACAACAACTGTGTAGGGTTTACATTGCATTAGAAATTATAAGTAATCTGGAGATGATTTAAAGTTTATGGGAATATGCATATAGGTTATGTGAATACTATAATATTTTATGTAAGCAATTTGAGCATCTGCGGGTTTTGCTCACTATCTGCTGTGGATAAGATGACTTACTAGCAGTGTACCATAAAATGAAAAAATAAGTACTACATACAGTAGCTCCAAAGGAATAAGATGCTCATGAATACATATCGTGTACATGTGTACCTGCCTAATCTGTATGCTGAAACCTGCTAAACAATGACGAAGGAAATCAAGACTGAAATAGATGCAGACTTATACTGGATTGGAAGATTCAAAATGGTAAAATTGTCGCTCCTTCCCATATTGGTTTATGAATTCAACACACTACTGCAGTCAAAACTCCAGCTGTGTATTTGTATACATAGGCAATCTGACATCCAAATTTATATGGGAAAAGAAGAAATCAGAATAGTTAAAAACAATTTTGGAAAAGAATAAAATTAGAGAAATTCTTGATTTTGAGTTGATATGAATTTATAGAAGGTACTCTGTTGTGAAGGGACAGATATGTGGGTCAGCAGAATGTAGTAATTGCACTGAAAAGCAGTCACAGTATGGCAAAAGTGTTAAAGAAATTCATTGATGGATACAGGACAGTCTTAGCAACAAATGACATGGGCTGGGGATGTGGGATGTAGGAATAAGGCCCTGTTTGATCCCCAAAACTGCAAAATAAACAAAAATCCAAAAAAAAAAATAGTGCTGTAGTAATTAAACCTTGACCTAAATTTACATAAAAAATTAACTCAAACTCAATCATAGGTTGCCTGATGCATACAAATGCAGCACTCAGGAAGCTTAGACTGGAGGATCACAAGTTCAAGGCTGACCTGTGTTGCATATTGAGACCCTGACTCACAAAACCAAATCAACCAACCAACAACAACAAAAATCAATGATCTAAATGTAAAACATTAAACTTTTTAAAAGTTTTTAGGAAAAGACGTTCTTGATATGGAGTTAGGCAGAATCCATGAGTTAAAAAAGAAAGCATGATTCATAAAAGAAGTTTGTAAACGAGTTTATCAAAATTTTAAAAAATGCCCCATAAAATGCATCGTTAATCACAGCTATGTGGGAGGCATAGGTAGGAGAATCATGGTCAGAAACTGGCCCGGGGCATAAACATGAGACCTTACCTGAAATATAACTGAAGTGTAAATGTGCTGGAGACATGGCTCAAGTGGTAGAATTCCTGCCTGGCAAGCACAAGGCTCTGAGTTCAAACCCAGTACCACCAAAAATAACCAACGAAACAAAACAACAACAGCATAGAGATTAGGCAATGGTATTTAGAAATCAGTATCTCACAAAAGAATAAAGAACTCTTAAAACACCACAGTAAGAAAAGTAACAGCCCAATTAAAAAATAGCCAAATTTGTGCTGGAGATGTGGCTTAAGTGGTAGAGTAATTGCCTTACAAGTATGAAGCCCTAGTTCAAACCCCAGTATCCCCCCCCCCAACATACACACACACACGCCAAGTTTGAACAGACATTTCACTAAAGAGGATACAGGGGTGGCAAATAAACATCTGAAAAGATGCTCAATATCATTTACCATTAGGGAAATGCAAATTAAAACGATGAAACACACAACATATTTTACTTTTATTGAAATTAAAAACATTGTGACGGTACCAAGTTCAATTAGAATACAAATCATTGAACAGTCACACATTTTGGAAGGATGCAGAAATGGTGTAACCACTTTGGAGAACAACGTGGGTTTTGTACAGAGTTATGTATATATGACCCAGCAATTCCACTTTGGAATAAAAATATATCTTTACAGAAATACTTGGTCACAGACATTATAGATGTATTCATAGTTGGGTAAAAAGAGAAACAAAGCAACTGTGATTTCACAAAATTTGCTGCATCCACACATTAAACTAATACCAGCAATTAAAAGGACAAAGTATTCATGTGTGCAACAAATTGGTTGCCTCTTGGATGCATTGTACAGAACCAAGGGGCCAAATTTCAATGATTCCATAGAATTGTGATTGTATTTATTCCCCATGCTTAAAAAGATAAAACTGGTGATAGAGAACACACCAGCCCTTACTAGGAGTTAGGATGTAGGAAGGAAGCATGTGAATTAAAGGCATGAGGTAAGTTTGGATATAGTGTGTTTTGCATCCAAATTTGCTGCTAG